TAAGTAGATGGTGCATAACCCGAATCTGCACAATAACTGGTGGCAGATCCAAAATGTATTCAAAGTATGTTTTCTTAAACATTCAAAGTTGCGTCTTTGTTAAATTCTCTTTCAACAGACGAATGACATTGCAGTTGGTATCCCAATCTACATTTGGTTTATAATCTATGTCCATAGGCACAAGGAAATCCCACATTGCAAAACATGTTCATATAAAAAAAATTAGAAATAGAATTCGCTTAAAAATGCAACTAAAACAACCAAAAATATTACAACTACCATATAATACCAACATGGCATATAACTATACCAACAGGGTATACATTTCTACTGGCTAATTTCCGGCAACTATAAATGACTATACTACTATTATATAACAGACATGCATAAAGAGAAAAATCAAGAAGGTTTGCAGCTATAAAGTATTTTCAAGATATTGTATGATACTACTATTATTAAAGGAAAAACAAATAGTGTACCAGTTAAATGTAGTCAATACAACCCAAAAAGGATCCAAAAGCATATGATACCAATATACCAACATAGTATATAGCTATACTAACAGGGTATATTGTTGTACGGGGTTGTTCCAACAACTGCATAGGCCTATAAAAACTATCACATAACACACATACTCTATGTTCATGGCACAAGGGAAACTCAACAATGCAAAACATGATCATATAAATAATTTTAGAAGTAAAATTCACTTAAAAATGCGGGTAAAACAACCAAAAATGTAACAACTACCATATGATACCAATATGGCATATAATTATACCAACGGGTTATACAGTTCTACTAGTTAATTCTTACCAACTATATATGACTATTCTACTATTACATAGCATACATGCATAAAGAGAAAAATAAAAAATTAGTGTACCACATATTAATATAATAAAGCATTTGAAGATATTGTACTATACGACTATTATTAAAGAAAAATCAAATAGCGTACCAATTAAAGGAAGTTAATACAGCCAGAAAGGTTTGATACCAATATAGTATATAACTATACCAACATGGTATATAGTTTTATGGGGTCGATCCCGCAATTGAGGTTCCAACAAACATATGATACCAATCAGAGGCGGATCCAAGATTTGAAGGTTGCGGGTGCCACTATACATATGTAGCATACTTACCACTAGCCACAAAGACCGAATAAGAAGAACAGATTGATTCAGTTAGTTTTTGGTTAATTCGATTACGTCTTTTATCCACAAATAGATAAATTAGTTCGGTTTTAGTTCAATTTTCTTATGCTTGATTTAATTATATGCTATAATAAAATTATAAATAATAATAATAATAATAATAATAATAATATTTCATGAAAATATGCCTCCAATTAGAAAGTTTTCTTAAAAAGCCGCTTAAGTGCTATATATTCTTTGTTTGAGTTGATTAATTGATCATTGGTCTTGGATAATTTTTTTAAATTTAATTATCAAGTTATATGACAATTGTTTCCAAACCAAAAGTTTCAAATTTTCAATCTATGAAAATAAATCTCAAAACCTCTATCAATTAAATATTTTTCACAAGCCAATAAATGATATTGCTCAAATTATATATATATATATATATATATATATATATATATATATATATATATATATATATATATATATATATATGTATGTATATAAAAACTAACGTTGTATCGTTAGAATGAAAAAATTAAATATTACCTAGAATCATTTTAAAATTATGCATCAAAAGAGATTGCTCATAAAATAATGTATAATTGTAAAAAGTAAAGTGAAGGCCAATGTAAAGAAATTTAAAAAAGAAGATGAGAGATATTTAGTTGCAAATAATAGGAAGAGAAAAGAAAGAGGAGGAAGAAGAAAGAAGTAGTAGGGGAAGTTAAGCGAGGGCCCAAGCCCCAACAGAAAATAAAGGAGATGGGAATTAATAAGTGACAAAATTACATAATAATGCACTCCATAAGTTGGCCTTGCATTATTTTAGCCCACTTACAAGTTTGCAAATGTGTAGCCAAATATCAATAAGCTTAGATCTGAATTCTTTTCCAGTTTTTTATGCTTTATATCTTCAAGCGTGAAACATTTCCATTCTCTTTTTTTCTCAAATTTCTACATACCTATCACAACTGCGAAATCAAAAACAGACGCGAAAAATCTAATATCTCATCTTCATTAATGCTAATCTTGTTAGATTTGGAATATGATTGTGTGAGAAATTTGGAGTGGGTATTGTTTGAACTTATTATAATTAGTCTAAGTAGACTGTATACGAAGTTTGAAGTCATTTAATGGAGATTTGGAATAGTTTTAATAAAGAATTGCAAGTGAAAATCGTACAAAAAGTTCGTCAGAGATGCTTATACATTTTTATACAATATTATACACTTTTATACAAAGAGGTATATTATATATATAGTTGTATAAAAATATATAAAGATGTATAAGCACAATAATGAAAATGTTAGTGATACACCATGTATATAGATGTAGTAGTTGAAGAAGAAGAAGAAGAAGAAGAAGAAGAAGAAGAAGAAGAAGAAGAAGACAAGTGAGAAATCTACCAAATACTTGTAATGAGAAATCTACCAAATACTTGTAAATAATGTATCAACCTTGTATAAAATAATGTAAAAGAGGTGTTTATACACCATTATACATTATTTATACACTATTATACAAATGAATTCCATTAATGGAGCTTCACGGATTCATCTTCTTCTTTGGGCATCTTTTGAAATTCAACCCAAATCTAGCTCAACTCTGCTCCAAATCGCTTCAAATTTGAGTTTTGAACTCCCCTTGACGATCCCAATCAATTGGGCCAACACCCAATCCAAATTGAAAAATCCAATTTCTGAAATTAAAGCTTCGAATGACCTTTAATGGTGACTCAAAAAAAAAAAATCTCTTAAGTGGTATCTTGTCTTCTCATCTTAATAGTGATTATAAACTTTGAATCTGGAAGGAGAATTGAAGAATATATAATGTTTTGGGGTGCAAAGTCGTGAAAGAGGAAGAAGAAGAAAAACGAAGAAAAAAAAAATAGGGTGGGCTAACTGGTGAAAAATAACTTTTAGATTATGTACAACCTGAGCCATATCAGGTAAGAGCTTCAAACGTGGGATAATTTTTTATGGATTGTTAGGACAAGTAACAAGGAGCGTAATTTTCCCATAATAAGTAAGGGGAAAAATAAAAGTATGGGCAGAACGGTGCCACATGAATCGATCTCAGGACCATGAAGCCAGTTTAAGACTTAAGAGGCAGCGCTGAACCATGGCACCCACATGCTATTTGTGTAATGCAGGTGCCATTTTTATATATTATGTTTATTTCATATATATATGAACATACTTGCTAAGAATTTTTGGAGAAGCAGGCGGTGGCGTGCCACGCCAACACTACAGGTAGATCCGTCCCTGATACGAATATATTATATAGCTATACTAACAGGATATATAGTTGTACGTGGTCGTTTCCAGTTCCCACAACTAACTATACTATAATATAATACAAAAGTATACCAAAAAATTAAAAAATAACAATGTACTATATATTCAAAAGCACAGATCCTAATTTTAAGAAAATTACCTTTTTGGGTGCGATACCAATTTTTCTCTTCTTTACTTGAGAACCATCGCGACAATCAACATCGACAGGTTGAGTCTCTGTTTCAGGCACGGATTCACGTCGGCTTTCCCCTAACTCAGAATCCTCAACAACTTTAGCTTTTCCCTAATCATTCACCGCAACATCTGCTATGACTGCTTTGGAATTTGTTTCGGTTAGTGACTGATCGGGAGTTCTATTGACTAACGAAGCATCAATATTGTTGCCTTTTCCCTCCTCTAATTCTACATTTTCAATTGTGTTTTCAATAACAGTATTGCTAGGGTTAGGACTAAACACAGACGGAGAATCAGAAAAAATAAAAAACTAGGACCCGACATGGCTGAGGCAACGGATTCAGCAGCTACTTGGGTTGAAGAATGATGTTGTGCACGACGCCACCATTTACACGCACAATGCTTCCGACCCATAGTGAAAACAATAATCCACAGACATCGATTCACAAAAGTAACAAAGAAAAACACAGAAATTCTATGTTTTTGAAAACCCACTTTCACTAAAATGTACTTTCACATACAAAAATTTCATCCAGAGATTACTATTAGATGAAGAGATATTTGAAGAAAAAATTCAAAAGTCGAATTAGTAAATGCTAGGTGAAATATGGGTTCTCATGGTTTGGCTATAGAGGTTTTGAAATGATGTCTGTAGCGTTAAGGAAGGAAGACAAATTAAATGAGGCATTAAATGACGGTGGGTATGGGAATTCACTAATGGGTGGGCCGCGTAAATAGTTTGGGCTGCATGGGTAAGAAACGTAAATAGTTTGGGCCTGAGTATCAAAGGATAAATAGTTTGGCTTAATATGTATAAAGTGAAATTTTCTCTTTTTAAAGGCCTTTGGGGGAAGAGATTTGAAAAGAGCATTTTATCATTGTAATATTTTATCTATGTATTCCCGAGATTATTTTTCCCCCTTAAAGTGGGTAGAACAATACCGTAATTATGATATAAATTAATCCAGAATTATTAATTTCGAATTTAAAAATTTAATTAGGTACGAGATAAAATAATCTTGCATCTAATCCCCAAATTATTATCCCTTATCTCATCAATGGAACGATCCCTTTATTTTTAATTTGTTATAATCTCCATTCTTTAGCTTGGAGGATTCCAAATCAATGGATCACACTACAAGTTCAATATTAAAAGAACCAAATTGCAACTTTCCCAAAATACAAGGGGGTATCAGTAAAGTAAAGCATAGTGATGCACAAACTTCTAGACTATTCTAAAGAAGGACAAACCAAACGGGCAGCTGCAAAATGCAAAAGTATATCAACGGCTGTGATGGATTAGAAGCTTCAAGAGCAACAACTACCGTCCATTCACACTCTTCTCTCCTCACCCTTTGGTTTGGTTATATAACCTAACCGTATCTTCTTTTTCTCAAGAAGAGATAAACCCACCTACTACAGCTACTTCTTCAACAACACTAGTAAAACCCTAAGCTTCAACACTCAACCTCTTACAATTTTCAAGGTAAGCTTCACGTCCAGCTAATATCTTAGTCCATATCTGTATCTTAAGAATGATGTTATTTTTTTCTGTTGTAATTTTTATTGTATATATCGAACTATTTTTGGGTATGGGATTTCATTTGTTACTGGGTTTAAAGGTTCTTTTATGTCTCTTTAAGTGGATAATTTGCTATTCTTGTTGGCTTTTACTTATAGTTGTAGCATTTCTTCTGTCAGATGCTATTCGTGTCCTTGTTGCTTCTTAATAATCGTTTCATATTCTGATAGATTTTCTTTTATTTGGATGATAAAAATTGAACCTTTTATTTAAAGTATATGCAAATGTAATTTACTGGGCCTTTATATTCACGGTTTGCTTGAGAGTATGGCAAAGAAAAAAAGTAGAGACTATATAATATCATTTCTTTCGTGTCTTGTTTCTTATAATTAACTGTTCAATTTTCTGAAGATTTTATTTTATTTGGATAAGAGAAGTTGGACTCGTTTTAAGTTTAAAAGTGTTTGTATTAGGATAAGGCAATGTAATTTACTGGGACTTCGTATTTATGGATTGACCGTGTCACACAGTCTCTGTGTAATTGCAAAGGAAAAAAAAGGGAAGAGTGTATATAGATGAGTGAGGATAATGTGGATAAGAGTAGTAGTATTATTATTATTTTTGATACATTTAAGAGTATCTGTTTAGTCACTCAACTACTTGTGGAGTGTGTTTTGAGGCGATTTATCTGACTGGCTTGAAACTTGTTTTAATTGTTTAAGCAAACCGAGCATTGAAAACTATATCTATCTTAGCCGTTTAAAGTAACAGAGCATATTTCTGAATCTAGACTAGCTTCCGTGGTGTTGAAGGCTGTACTTCACTAGGATATGATGGTGTTAATTTTGTTAAGTTGGTCGACTAGTCATATAGTGAATTTTTGTATGGACAGATGGCATCTACTTTTGCTGGTATGTCCTCAGCGGGTCCCTTGGCTGCTCCCAGCACTTCTTCAAACAAGCTTTCCTCTGTTGCTAATATATCTTCAAGCTCTTTCGGGAGCAGAAGAAATGTTGTTCTGAGAAAGGCACGCAGTACAAAAATTTCCGCTGCAGCAAAGGAGCTGTATTTCAACAAGGATGGATCAGCTATCAAGAGGCTGCAGGTGAGCTTTTTAACTCAAATTACCAAATAGTTGGTTGCAGTGAATTCTTGTTGTGTACATCGTTAAATGCTTGATTTTCTTGCTGTTGCAGGTTGGTGTGAACAAACTTGCTGATCTAGTTGGAGTTACTCTTGGCCCAAAAGGCAGGAATGTTGTTCTTGAGAGCAAGTATGGTGCTCCAAAGATTGTCAATGATGGAGTCACTGTTGCCAGAGAGGTGTGTTAATCGTTAGATATAGTGTACCTGTAGCTGTTTCAACTAATTTCCGATCGTTCTTGGAACATCAAGTTGTTTTAATTGCTATGTTTTCATTCATTTATAACATTATTTTGAGTTTCAGATAACAGAAGAATATCTCTTTTTTCTACTTTGCTGTCGCCTGTCTGTTTGTTTGGTAGTAGCTTAAAATTCTATTTGATCATAATGCTCTCTGTTATTTATACTAGGTTGAGTTAGAGGATGCAGTAGAAAACATTGGTGCTAAACTTGTGAGGCAAGCTGCTGCCAAAACCAATGATTTGGCTGGTGATGGGACTACTACATCTGTTGTACTAGCCCAGGGCCTGATTGCTGAAGGTGTTAAGGTACTTTGTGAAACCCATATGCTGCTGAATTCTCAGTATGTTAAATCTCCTAGAATATTCTTCTTACCAACTAGATTGTGTATGTAGGTGGTTGCAGCTGGTGCAAACCCTGTCCTGATCACCAGAGGAATTGAGAAGACTACAAAAGCCTTAGTAGCTGAATTGAAGAATATGTCAAAAGAGGTAAATTTGTTAGGTTTATCAATGGTTCTTAGACTGAATCCAAAGATCTGGCTGTTTTAGTTTTGTGCTATCTTGTAATGGATTGTGCATCAAATATTGTAAGTAAAAACTTTAAAAAAAGATTGAGAACTTTGCTGACCAAGTGCGCCACGCAGGTAGAAGACAGTGAACTAGCAGATGTTGCTGCAGTAAGTGCTGGGAACAACTCTGAAGTAGGGAGTATGATCGCTGAAGCCATGAGCAAGGTTGGTAGGAAAGGTGTTGTGACCCTTGAAGAGGGAAAAAGTGCTGAAAACAGTCTCCGTGTGGTTGAAGGAATGCAATTTGACCGTGGTTACATCTCACCATACTTTGTTACTGACAGTGAGAAAATGTCCGTTGAATATGAGAACTGTAAGGTGGGGATCCCTTCTTTCTAGGTTTAGTATGTACTGCTTAAGATGTTCATAATACCTCTTTGAATGCACCGTGTATCTATTACTGATGATGTTAGGTATTCTGAGATGCAGTTACTACTGGTTGACAAGAAAATAACAAATGCAAGAGATCTTGTTGGTGTCCTAGAAGATGCTATCAGAAATGGTTACCCAATTTTAATTATTGCCGAAGATATTGAGCAAGAAGCTCTAGCAACCCTTGTTGTCAATAAGCTTAGAGGTGCTTTAAAGGTTGCTGCCCTTAAAGCTCCTGGTTTTGGTGAACGAAAAAGCCAGTATCTTGATGACATAGCAACCCTTACTGGAGGTATCTCTTGCTTAGTTTTCTTATTGGTTCTATTTGAAAATTTGTATCTTCAATTCTGATCCTTGTACCTTTGGACTCTGATAGCCCCAAATTGGATTGAAATAACTAACCCTTTTTATTACCCTAATGTATAGGCACTGTGATTAGGGAGGAACTTGGCCTTACCTTAGACAAGGCTGACAAGGAAGTTCTAGGCCATGCTTCTAAGGTAGTGCTGACTAAGGATGCCACCACAATTGTTGGTGATGGTAGCACTCAGGACGCAGTCAATAAGCGTGTTGCGCAGATTAAAAACCTTATAGAGGTGAGTGTTCGCTTGGCATTTTTGGTAAAGGTTTTTTTTCATGATCCAGTCTCATGTAGTTTGTGCGGATTCTGAGCAGGCAGCAGATCAAGATTATGAAAAAGAAAAGCTAAATGAAAGAATTGCTAAATTATCAGGAGGTGTGGCTGTTATACAGGTAACTTCAGTTCCAATAAATTAACATTTTGGTTTTTGAATCAGTATAAAGTGCAGCTATAAGTTGCTGATTCCTTAATTGAATGCTGAAGGTTGGAGCACAAACTGAAACAGAATTGAAGGAGAAGAAACTAAGGGTGGAAGATGCTCTCAACGCAACAAAGGTAAGCTAGTTTCGTAGTCAATAATTAGTTAGGTTTGTGCTCTCCAGGATATATTTGAGTTTTTTGATTGATGACTTGTAATATGAAGACCGAAGGCTAATAATGTTCTGATTTCAGGCAGCTGTTGAGGAAGGTATTGTTGTTGGTGGAGGGTGCACGCTCCTGAGACTTGCTTCTAAAGTTGATGCCATCAAGGAGACTCTTGAGAATGATGAGGAGAAGGCAAGTTTGTGGTAGCCTGCAGTTTTTCTTTTTGTTGCGAGAGCATAAGCAGTCCTTTTAACTTCATTTATCTTAATTGTGCAGGTTGGAGCTGATATTGTTAAAAGAGCATTGAGCTACCCATTGAAGTTGATTGCTAAAAACGCTGGTGTTAATGGAAGTGTTGTCAGTGAGAAGGTACTGGTATATGGTCTGGTTTTAGAGGGAAAAAGATGACTGGTGCCAACTGAAAAGTTCGGTTGAAAATTTTTTGCTCTCTAAATATCTTTGTTTACCTTTCAGGTGCTTTCTAGTGACAATCCAAAATTTGGATACAATGCTGCAACTGGCAGTTATGAAGACTTAATGGCTGCTGGTATTATTGACCCAACAAAGGTGCGGTTATCTGGTTTTGCAATTTTTTTCCCGATAAAGGCCATTGTCTGGATTTGCATTAGAAAGGCCATTATCTGGTTTTGCATTATAAGATATTATGATGTGGCCAAATATATATTGGCGTGTTTGCTGGAGATCACCTGAGTAGTGGGTTTTGTGATGGTTCACTGTTCTATTTGCAGTCCTTTTTTACTTGGTTCCTTCCAAGGGATAGTACAGTTTGGATTGTGGAAATAAAACTGATAGCAGTCGTGGTTTTATTGTTGCTGGTTTTCAGTGGAAATTTGCTATCTTTGACTACTAGTCAATGTGAGTTACGGCTAGATATGAGAGTAGGCCAAAAAGCATATGCAATTACAGAAGAACTTTTTGATCTATTCAGTTTATTATTCCTTTTCTAACCCTGTTTGGGATGCTTAGGAGTGCTCCATACGAGGGGTTTAGAATGCACAGATAAAACAATATATTTTATGGTCTCTTTATATGCTGTTCGGGATGGCTAGGAGAGTTCAGCAGGATGGGTTCAGAAGACAGATAACACAAATAGGTTGTATAGGGTGGCTGTCCATAGAACTGAGTGATTGTATAACTCTTCCAAACTCTAGAGTTCTACCTGATGACAGAAATCCAAAACGAGCATGTTAACTATCCTTGTGTACTTGGTTCGTTATTATTACTGAAAGCTGAAATGACTACGTGCCCTGCTCAGGTGGTGAGATGTTGTCTAGAGCATGCGTCATCAGTGGCGAAGACATTCTTGATGTCAGATTGTGTGGTGGTAGAGATCAAGGAGCCTGAACCAGCAGTTGCTGGCAACCCAATGGACAACTCAGGTACCTTCTTGGATTCAATCTACTCAATCTCTTTCTCTTCTTTTTAACTTTTCTTTTGGGTTAGTGTGTAGTCTGGCAGAACTCCAGTTAACTGAAATTCGTGATTAATTTCATTTCCAGGATATGGTTACTAGATGATTGAATGAAGGCTACTGATAGATAGAAGAGAAGAACTGCCCCTGCGAGATGATAGTGGTAGATGAACAATGTCTGGTGCAATGCTTGAAAGCCTTTATTTTTGTAAAACTTTAGGTATTCTTTCTGGGAGCATATATAAATCCTGGTGGGAGTAGCCTTCAGGGTTCGGCACTGTATGAACATGCAATTCATTGTATAATTGCAGATTCAGTGGATGTTTGTTGAGTGGCAGAACAGAAATAAAATCTTTTACATGGTTTCTCATATTGCAACTTACTACCTCTGTTAGTCTAATGGAATACTAAAGGAAAGAAAAATTGAAGAAAAAATGTAGAGCCACACAGGTTACATCTTTGCTGAGAAATCGCTGGATTCATTACCCCGTTTACTGGGCAGATAATCAAGCACTAGTGAGAGATATGAAAGTGCTCTAATAATGAAACATCAACTTTCGACTTTCGTAGTCCAATTTTGTCATTTTGGCATTCTTTAACAAATATTAGATTACTCATAGTTTTAGTTTTTATTGTAATGAAAGAGTAAGATTACTTTGTGATTTTAAGACCCGCACGCCTCTGTGGGTGTTGCTTTGAGCATGGCCTTTGCTAGTAGAATAATGATTTATTTCCTCTTGTTTACAGCCCAATGAGGCAGCAAAAATGAAACCAATATTTCCTATTCCTCAAATTTCCTCCATTCTGATGTGGAATATAAAACAGTTAAATATTATCAGGAGCTTTTGTGTTTTTTGATACATTTGAAAAACTGAGTGTTTAGGGTAGAAATCGGGGTTAGCCGATTTTATTTTTGATCGAGGTGGGAATGTCACGTCAAGGAGCTAGGACGTCAAGCCCGGAATCGAAGCCTCTTTTCGGATCGAGGTCGACGTCAATAGCGGCCAGAGAGACAGACTTCGAGAGACATCGGTACAGCTTGATAACGGAAAAGGCGAGATATCCGCGATTGGTCGAGGATCGTGGCGTGAATCTCGGAACGGGTCAATCCACGGTGGTTAATTAGATGTTAATATGATTTTCTACTATAATTAGAAGTGTACCTTATTTAGGACTCCTCCATTATATAAAGAAATATCCTATTCATTTGTAAGGATCATGGTTCACTGATAAGAATATATACACTTATTACTTTCTTGCTATTTCACTTACTGTTCATCAGAGTTGCTTTATCAACTATTCTACTACCCTACCTCAAGACTACCCCATCGTGGCGTGAATCTCGGAATGGGTCAATCCACGATGGTTAATTAGATGTTAATATGATTTTCTACTATAATTAGAAGTGTACCTTATTTAGGACTCCTCCATTATATAAAAAAATATCCTATTCATTTGTAAGGATCATGGTTCACTGATAAGAATATATACACTTATTACTTTCTTGCTATTTCACTTACTGTTCATCAGAGTTGCTTTATCAACTATTCTACTACCCTACCTCAAGACTACCCCAAGTTGAGGTCGAGACCTGGCTAACATACTGGTTTGATTTATTTTATTCTCTAATTTATTCATTTATTTTCTTGCTTTATCAATTGGTATTGGACGAAATCACATATCCTTAAAACCACAATATAAGTTTAATTATTATCCAAATTTGAGGGTAAATAGTTTGGTGCCCACTGTGGGGCTAAGGATAATAGTGATTGTTCGGTGCTGATTCTAATAACACACATTATTTTACACTTGTTCTTGTCAAGTATCTTTGCTCTCAGGTTAAAACATGTCAAACTCACAAAGCGCACCCACACGGTGACAATGGACTCGGTTTTCACGTGGAAAACGACAATGTGATTGCTCAAGGAGCCGAGGTGCCACAGGCTAATCTCGGGGGAGCACCGGTCACCAATCCAGTCGATGTCAGTTCGCACATTGCTTTAAATGCGGACCTGGGTGCGGACCCCGAAGGGAGTATACGCAGAGAAGGCCGATTTGGTGGCCAGGGTACACAGGGCAGAGGAGACGAAGGAGTCAGTCTCCAAGTAATATTCGAGATGTTACAGGCTCAACATGCCGTTATTATTCAGCTACAAAATCAACGTAGAACTCCGAGTGGGGTCGAGCCAGAAATCACTCGTCGTACTGAGCCGGTATCAGAGAGGTCGGATGGTAACGAATCGGCGACCGATCCTGCAATAATTAAAATGCTCGAGGAACTCACCAAAAGAATTGAGTTAGGAGAGAAGAAAATCGAAGCTAATGATAAAAAAGTGAAAAATACAACTCCCGAGTTGATCAGATACTGGGAGCACCACCAATCTTGAATGGTATGGATTTAAAGAAATTCGTACAAAAGCCGTTCCCTCATAGTGCGGCCCCGAAACCCATTCCGAAGAAGTTTCGTAGCCGGACTAACCTAAATACAATGGGACCACCGATGCCAACGAGCATGTCACCTCTTACCATGCGCCATCAAGGGTAACGATCTGGAAGATGATGAGATCAAATCCGTTTTATTGAAGAAATTCGGGGAAATCCTATTGAAGGCAGCAATGATTTGGTACCACAATCTACCACCAAATTCCATTGTCTCGTTTGCCATGTTGGCGGGCTCTTTCGTAAAGGCACATGCCGGAGCCATAAAGATTGCGACAAGGAAATCGGACCTTTTCAAGGTAAGACAGAGAATAATGAGATGTTGAGGGAGTTTGTATCCCGATTTCAAATGGAACGCATGGAGTTGCCACCTGTCACAGATGATTGGGCCGTTCAAGCTTTCACTCAGGGATTGAATGAACGAAGTTCGATAGCATCACGTCAGCTGAAACAAAATTTGATCGAGTATCCGGCTGTAACTTGGGCAGATGTACACAATCGGTACCAATCGAAGATCAGGGTCGAGCATGACCAATTAGGAGCACTCTCCGATTCAGTACACCCAAACAGGTCAGAAGCCAAAATTCGGAGAGACATCGACAGGGAGCTAAGATCGAACAAAGACCAATATCAACCTTACACCTCAAATCGCAGGATCAGTGGTCCAGGGCGCAATTACGCCCGGAACGATCGAAGAAGCGATTGAGGACATAATTCTTGGGTACTCATGAGCAAAAGTCATTTTGATAAACACACCGATCCCACAGAGGTACCTCGATTGTCGGAATACAATTTTAGTGTCGATGCGTCAGGCATCATATTGGCAATTGGAAGAATCAAAGACACCAGATGGCCCAGGCCCATACAGATCGATCCTTCCCAAAGGAACCCCAATTTGATGTGTAAATATCATGGCACACATGGTCACTGGACCGAGGATTGAAGGCAATTGAGAGAGGAGGTAGCCTATTTATTCAATGAGGGCCACCTTCGTCTATTCCTAAGTAATCGAGCCAAGAATCATTTCAAGGAAAGGGACGCCAACAGGAAAAATGAACAGGAGGAGCCGCATCATGTAATTCATATGATCGTTGGAGGGGTCGATATTCCGCAAGGGCCCGTGTTCAAACGCACTAAGGTATCAATTACTAGGGAGAAACAGACCCCAAACTATGTGCCAGAAGGCACCGTATCATTCAACGACGAGGAAGTAGAAGGAATTTCTTAGCCTCACAACAACGCCCTGGTAATTTCTATCTTATTAAATAAAGTTCAAGTTAAGCGTGTTTTAGTGGATCCAGATAGCTCGGAAATATGATTCAATCAAGGGTCGTGGAGCAGCTTGGCCTGCAAGATAAGATCGTGCCCGCAGCTCGGGTCTTGAACGGTTTCAATATGGCCAATGAAACAACTAAAGGAGAGATTATCCTACCGGTGAATGTGGCAGGGACTATCCAAGATACCAAGTTTCACATAATCGAGGGCGACATGAGGTACAACGCCCTACTCGGGAGGCCTTGGATCCATAACATGAGGGCAGTCCCTTCGACTCTCTACCAAATGATGAAATTCTTGATGTTAGACGGGGTAAAACAGTGTACGGGGAGCAGCATGCTGCAAAAGAAATGTTCGCGGTCGATGAGGTAATACTGATTTTGGCGCTATCAACATCAGAAGGATCGGGCATCAAGGGTAAACAGGAAGCCAATAGCAATCACCGCCACCATCTTCGACCGAATCGGAGAAGCAGGAAATGGAAGAGGAAGAGGAAGAGGAAGAGGAAGAGGAAGAGGAAGATCTCTTGACCCCTCAAACTTTTGTTGTTCCCGAAGAATCCGACGCCACCAAATCAATGGTCGAAGAGCTGGAACAGGTTATATTGATCGAGTACCTACCCGAGTGAAAGGTGTACCTGGGAACAGGGTTAACCCCCGAACTCAGGAAAAAGCTTATCCAGTTTCTTATTGATAAAATAGATTGTTTTGCTTGGTCCCATTTAGACATGACAGTGATCCCGCCGGAGATAACAACACATCGACTAAGCCTGGACCCAAAGTTCAGACCGGTGAAACAAAAGAGAAGGCCCCAGTCCGAGGTAAAACACGCATTCATAAAGGACGAGGTAACTAAACTTCTCAAAATAGGGTCCATTCGAGAAGTGAAGTATCCCGAATGGTTTGCCAATGTAGTCGTAGTTCCTAAAAAGGGAAACAAACTTAGGGTGTGTATAGATTATAAGGATTTAAACAAAGCATGTACCAAAGATTCTTTTCACTGCCTAACTTCAATCGCATGATCGACGCCACAGCCGGCCACGAGATCCTTAGTTTTCTCGATGCCTATTCCGGGTACAATCAAATTCAAATGAACCCGGAAGACCAAGAAAATACTTTATTTATCACCAAGTATGGAACATATTGTTATAATATAATGCCCTTCGGGCTAAAAAACGTAGGGGCTACCTACCACAGTATAAGGAACAGAGCAAGAGACTCCAAGAAAGTAAACTAAATCATAGATACGAAAGTTTTCCTACAAAGGGGATGGCTTTAACAACCCATAATGGACGGCTTGCCAAGCTACACAAACAGTTAATTTGCTTATAGTCGCAAAAGTTTTCCTACAAAGGGGCTGGCTTCAACAACCCATAAGGGACGACTTGCCAAGCTACACAACTCAGAAAACTTTTGTACTATAACCAACATAAGATGTTTATAACTCAGAAACTTTCGTACTATAATAAGCTAACTTTCTTAGAGTATTCTTACTCTATTTCATACACGGACCGGCCTTTCCATCCATTCGAAAGAAAGAACAAGAGGGAAATTTAGAAAGCACTCATATGTAATATATCACAAAAAGAATTACAAAGGTTACAAGATGATCTTACAACTACTACAAGGCGTCCTTTATGTAGGACTAGGAGGTTATTA